CCAAGGACTCAATCGTATGGATATGTAAAATACAGGATTTCCAATCCTAGCAGGAAAAGGAGGGAAACGGAACTTTAAATCTAGTTTCTATCGTTTTGGCGGCATGGCCGAGTGGTAAGGCGGGGGACTGCAAATCCTTTTTCCCCAGTTCAAATCCGGGTGCCGCCTCAACAACAGACTTGAAATCCCCTATTATATATAACATATAACAAATGTAGGAAAAGACTCTTGATACTTTATTTTCGTAATTTTCAGCCCCTGGCTCTCGAGGTTCTATTCTCTAACCTAAAGTTTTGCCTATCAGATTCACGGAAAACTTAAAGTAGTGGAGAGAAATCCGTCGGAGTCTTCAATTAGATTGGATAGCCAGAGAGGGAATTCAATTAATAGTTTTGGAAAGGACCTAAGATACTTTGGATACAGACTCATGAAAGTCTCGGAATGCTCAGACATTCAATCAATATTAGATTAGATGATGAAGAATTGCCCTTCGTTTTACTTCCAAAAATAAAAAACGATAAAAAAAAGAAAAAGTCTTATTTTTTCCACATGTGAGTCAGATTCCTTGGATACTTCGAAAAGTGCCTGTTTACTTGTGTTTCCATCTTGTCGATTCTACTAGAAATTCTATAATAAGAATAACTCATTACATTAAAAGATAAGTGGATTTTTTGGAGTAGTTCATCAATGGTGACCAAATACCTCTCCCTTTTTTTGACTCTGCACCAGTTATTTCACTATTATTAGTGAACAATAATGGAATAGTTTCTTCATATTCATAGAAATAGGGGACAGAATTCACATGGATATAGTAAGTCTCGCATGGGCTGGTTTAATGGTAGTTTTTACATTTTCCCTCTCGCTCGTAGTGTGGGGAAGAAGTGGACTCTAGAAGTACTCCTAATTGCGGTAATAATAAAACTCTATCAACCTGTATCAATTATTTTAGTTTTCTAGACCGGCCGGCAATTTTTTTTGAGAAATTGGATTTATGTTTTATTGACTCATTTTCTATTTTTATATCGGGGTTTCCACCGTTAATCATTCATGGGGTAACCCCTGATATAAATCTGAAGAAGTTTACATCAAATTCGGATTATTTGTATTAAATTTTTATTAAATGGATCAAACAAATGAAATTGAGAAAGTATGTACATACATTTCATATTCTATTTCATTTATATTACCATTTATAAATTTATAAAGAAAAAGAGATATAGGTGGATTCCTTTATATTAAAATATTTCACTTGTATCTTTATACATTACAATAACCATAATGGCTAATATGGTAGAAAGAGATCTCTTTCTACCATACTAGCGGGCCCCTTAGGATACTACTACTACTGAATCTAATGCATTCCTTTAATTTAAGACGAGAAATTGAAATCCTTTTTGTTTCGTTGCATTGATAGTCAAATTGTATTCAAATTAATTATTTTGACTAACAGTTTTTACGTAAATTATAAGCAAAAAAGCAGTAGGAACGAGAATGAAGAGTGCAGTAGCAATAAATGCAAGAATATTTACTTCCATAATTTAATCGTTTATTATTTATTTTTTTCTTTGGAATATCTCGGGATTTAATCCCATAGAGATGAGAAATCTTTCGCTTGTAAACTCACTCAGATTAATTAGATTTCGATGATATCGAATAAAAGAAATATTATGAATAACAATATCGTAGCTATAAAATCGATTCATCGTCAAGAATTTAATAATATACCATAAGAAGATCTTTTATCCACATCGAATACATAATGAGATTACTAATCCAATCAAAAAAAAATTGATTTATGATTCTTTTATCCACATCGAATACATAATGAGATTACTAATCCAATCAAAAAAAAATTTATTTATGATTCTTTTTCCCCGCTTGCTTTTCTACAACCTAGTACTTGACTTTCCTTGTACAACCATCCGATGAAGTATCATAAAAAACCTTTTCTACTTCGATTGTTTACAAAAAGAGTTTCTAAAGAACCTTAAATAAACAATAGAAATCAAATAGAGAAAACAAGTACGAAGTTCAATTTGAAATAAAAAAAAAATTTAAGGGTCTATCATCTTTTTGGAAAACAAATAAAGGGAATGTGATAAAGACCAGTCCCAGCAAAAAAAACTAAAATATTCCAAAAAATGAACTATTTAAATTTTCTTACGAGTTTTTTCTTCAACATCGACTCTAATCTTTAAAAAGAACATGTTCATTAGGGAAAGGAAAGACTAATTTGATCTTTATTTTTTAAATATCCTCTTTCCTTGGTTGGATTCGAACTATTTTCAATTACTTTACTTCATAGAAAGAAAAGTATATAGGAACTCTTGACAAACGTATTATACGCTATCCTATTCCATTTTCCTACACGAGTTAATAGGAGATTAATTGACAAAAAGCAGAAACCCCGTACAGTATCTCTTTCTTGAAGTGTTGAATGCTCTCAATAATTATACTAATTTACATATGTCTCTCTACCATCAATTGGTGCTAGTTAAAATAATGGAAATACCCTTTCTTTTGCTTAATGAAAAAAAAAAAAAAAACTTTTTTGTTTCTGGGCAAGGGAATCAAAACTTTCGTTTCTCTTTTTTTTTTATTGAATCCGCCGGGATTAATAGCTTCTACACATGACTATGAGGACAAACATGAGTGAAACGGTCTCAATCCAAGGGAGGAACATCAAATGGACCAATTTGGGAACCGGAAGAGGTAAGGAGTCCGAAATGTACCTCTGTGACTCCACATTGTGGAAACTCACTTGTAGTGTATAAGATGAACTAGATGGACCCATACTTACCCAAACATGGATTAATAGGTTCTACACATGACTATGAGGACAAACATGAGTGAAACGGTCTCAATCCAAGGGAGGAACATCAAATGGACCTAATTTGGGAACCGGAAGAGGTAAGGAGTCCGAAATGTACCTCTGTGACTCCACATTGTGGAAACTCACTTGTAGTGTATAAGATGAACTAGATGGACCCATACTTACCCAAACATGGATTAATAGGTTCTACACATGACTATGAGGACAAACATGAGTGAAACGGTCTCAATCCAAGGGAGGAACATCAAATGGACCTAATTTGGGAACCGGAAGAGGTAAGGAGTCCGAAATGTACCTCTGTGACTCCACATTGTGGAAACTCACTTGTAGTGTATAAGATGAACTAGATGGACCCATACTTACCCAAACATGGATTAATAGGTTCTACACATGACTATGAGGACAAACATGAGTGAAACGGTCTCAATCCAAGGGAGGAACATCAAATGGACCTAATTTGGGAACCGGAAGAGGTAAGGAGTCCGAAATGTACCTCTGTGACTCCACATTGTGGAAACTCACTTGTAGTGTATAAGATGAACTAGATGGACCCATACTTACCCAAACATGGATTAATAGGTTCTACACATGACTATGAGGACAAACATGAGTGAAACGGTCTCAATCCAAGGGAGGAACATCAAATGGACCTAATTTGGGAACCGGAAGAGGTAAGGAGTCCGAAATGTACCTCTGTGACTCCACATTGTGGAAACTCACTTGTAGTGTATAAGATGAACTAGATGGACCCATACTTACCCAAACATGGATTAATAGGTTCTACACATGACTATGAGGACAAACATGAGTGAAACGGTCTCAATCCAAGGGAGGAACATCAAATGGACCTAATTTGGGAACCGGAAGAGGTAAGGAGTCCGAAATGTACCTCTGTGACTCCACATTGTGGAAACTCACTTGTAGTGTATAAGATGAACTAGATGGACCCATACTTACCCAAACATGGATTAATAGGTTCTACACATGACTATGAGGACAAACATGAGTGAAACGGTCTCAATCCAAGGGAGGAACATCAAATGGACCAATTTGGGAACCGGAAGAGGTAAGGAGTCCGAAATGTACCTCTGTGACTCCACATTGTGGAAACTCACTTGTAGTGTATAAGATGAACTAGATGGACCCATACTTACCCAAACATGGATTAATAGGTTCTACACATGACTATGAGGACAAACATGAGTGAAACGGTCTCAATCCAAGGGAGGAACATCAAATGGACCTAATTTGGGAACCGGAAGAGGTAAGGAGTCCGAAATGTACCTCTGTGACTCCACATTGTGGAAACTCACTTGTAGTGTATAAGATGAACTAGATGGACCCATACTTACCCAAACATGGATTAATAGGTTCTACACATGACTATGAGGACAAACATGAGTGAAACGGTCTCAATCCAAGGGAGGAACATCAAATGGACCTAATTTGGGAACCGGAAGAGGTAAGGAGTCCGAAATGTACCTCTGTGACTCCACATTGTGGAAACTCACTTGTAGTGTATAAGATGAACTAGATGGACCCATACTTACCCAAACATGGATTAATAGGTTCTACACATGACTATGAGGACAAACATGAGTGAAACGGTCTCAATCCAAGGGAGGAACATCAAATGGACCAATTTGGGAACCGGAAGAGGTAAGGAGTCCGAAATGTACCTCTGTGACTCCACATTGTGGAAACTCACTTGTAGTGTATAAGATGAACTAGATGGACCCATACTTACCCAAACATGGATTAATAGGTTCTACACATGACTATGAGGACAAACATGAGTGAAACGGTCTCAATCCAAGGGAGGAACATCAAATGGACCTAATTTGGGAACCGGAAGAGGTAAGGAGTCCGAAATGTACCTCTGTGACTCCACATTGTGGAAACTCACTTGTAGTGTATAAGATGAACTAGATGGACCCATACTTACCCAAACATGGATTAATAGGTTCTACACATGACTATGAGGACAAACATGAGTGAAACGGTCTCAATCCAAGGGAGGAACATCAAATGGACCAATTTGGGAACCGGAAGAGGTAAGGAGTCCGAAATGTACCTCTGTGACTCCACATTGTGGAAACTCACTTGTAGTGTATAAGATGAACTAGATGGACCCATACTTACCCAAACATGGATTAATAGGTTCTCCATGACTATGAGGACAAACATGAGTGAAACGGTCTCAATCCAAGGGAGGAACATCAAATGGACCAATTTGGGAACCGGAAGAGGTAAGGAGTCCGA